TCCCATTAAGCCCATATTTAATCCCATTAAGTGGCCTTTTTAGTGCATTAATCATGCATTTATCCCCCTGCATTCTTCCACTCTCAGAGCCCTGCTGGCCCTGCAGCTGGCTCTCCCAGCTGGAGTGGGGATGGCCATGGGGAGTCTGGAGGGCGGGAGAGGCATCTCTGTCCTGCCCCTACCTGGGCCTCTGGCAGGCCCTCAGGGCCCGCTGAACAGGCCCTTATGGAGGCTTTTCTTCCTTTGTCATCTCATAGTTGCATCTCAGACTGCTTCCTTTACTTGGGGAGGGGCCTGTCCTTGCTTGTTTCTCAGTGACTCTGCCCCTCTCTCCTGAGCTGGCTTCATTGACTCACTGAACGCCACGGCCTGGCTCATGCAGGGCCTGTCTCCACCTCAGCTCTACGTGGTCCACCTGACTTGCCTTTGACCCTGCCTGCCGCCCTGACCCGCTTTCCCTCCACCCCAGGGGCCATGCACCCCCTGCGCAGCGGCCTGCTTAACTCCACATCAGATTCGGATCTCGTGCGCTACCGCACCATTAGCAAGATTCCCCAAATCACCCTCAACTTTGTGGACCTCAAGGGTGACCCCTTCCTGGCTTCGCCCACCAGTGACCGGGAGATCATAGCCCCCAAGATAAAGGAGCGGACCCACAACGTCACTGAGAAGGTCACCCAGGTCAGTGCCCAGCTCCCTGGCTCTCCTCTCACCTGGGAGGAGCTTGGAGGGAAGGTGGGAGTGGACTGTGGTCAAAAGTGGGGGTGGAGGGGTGCAGTCACTGAGGGCTGCTTGAAGGTGGCGGACCTGCAGGCTGGGGATGGAAGGGGGGCTTTCAGAGTTGGGACAAGAGAACAAACAGTATGAGAGGTCCTGGAGAAAAGAGGACTGGAGAGGAGGTAGCATTGGGATGGGGCAGATACAGAGGACAGGTTGATGGGTCTCAGGGAGGACATGGCAGTTGAGGCTGGGCACCTGGGAGGGTCAGGGTGGGTAGGAGAAGGCCTCCAGAGGGGCACAACAGGGTCTGTTCACACCTTGTGGTAGGAGAGCACTGGGGGGCAAACCAACAGGAAACTTCAAATTAGAAGAGGCCACAGAGGTCAAGACTGGGGGGTCCTGATTCTTCTAGGCCAATATGATGAGCCAGTCAGAGGGTGCTAGGGCCAGGGTGCCCTAGAGGTGCCCATCCTTTCCCCAAACCACAAGAGAGGAGAGTTTCCTTCCCGTGTTGGGAGGGGAGGGTGTGGTGGTGGGGGCACAGATACAGAGGATCAAGTCCCTGAATCCTGGGTCAGAGATTGCCAGCCTTGGGGGGCACTGTCCAGTGGCAAGACCTGCTGGTCTCCTACCGCCTTTTGGCAGTAAGGTGGTTGGCATCACCTCCACTGCGCAGTCCATCTCAGCCCCTTCACGGTCCTGGCCTTCGGGGTAGGGTGGGGGAGGCTCAGGAGTTGGAAGCAGGAACTGTGGGGGCTTCTGTCACACGCCTGCCTCGCCTCAGTCCCCGTTGCCCCTTCCTGTCCCTCCCACAGCAGCTCCCCTAGTTGGCCGGAGTGAGGGAGCTGTCCGCTCTTGCTCGCTGCCTCCTCGGCCCTCCTCCTGGCCCTGCTCCCGCTGCTGCCTCTGGCTCTCTGGGCCCCTGCCAGGTCTCCAGCCCCTTGGCCTGGACTCCAGAACGTTCTCCCACACCCTAGGCCCCATATCTGGCTGCCTACTCCTCACCCCTTCCCGTCCCTGCCTCTCTCTTGCCCCACCTGGAGCCCAGGCTTCTGCCCTGCTCCGGTGCCCACCGTGTGTGCTGTCGTGTTGTGGTCTGTGCGTCTGTGTGTGTCAGCATGCGCGCGTGTTCCTGGCTCTTTGGTCACCGGGCAGTCTCTCCATCTCTGGGTGTCTGACTCTGGCTGG